GACGACACTTCGTTATGCCGTACAGCTCCTAATACCTGCTAGTATACTAGCTCGTATTAATGGGCGTGACTCCATTGCCCCAGAGGATGTGCAGGAGATTAATGAGCTGTTCTNTGATGCAAAGTCTTCGGCAAAGATGCTGGCAGAGCAAGAGGACAAGTACATAAAATAAAGTGAAGGAGTTACTGGTAACTGATCATTGCATTCACTTATGTACATTATGCTTTACATGTACATGTACATACCTACTATTATCATTGTTATTAAACATACGAAAAGTTATTTCTTATTTAATTATGGAAGCATGACTACTCAATTATGGGTGCGGTTGAAGCAAACCATAGATAGGACTATTCACTATCTATGAGCAAACTAACTTTTGGCAAGATTGCCATTATATGCTATTTCTATAACAACTTGCTCTGTGTCGTCTTGGCTTGATGCCAAGTTCTTTTGTAGATGTAGCTACTTTTTGTGGTAAAGCAAACTAACTTTATTTCTAGACACAATTTAATCTGTGGTCTTATCCTTCAATTACAAGGATATTCACAACTTGCTCTGTGTTTGTCTATTTAGGACTATTCACTATCTATGAGCAAACTAACTTTTGGCAAGATTGCCAATATATGCTATTTTTATAACAACTTGCTTTTAAAAAGACAAATATTTTACAATTTTAAGGATGCAGTTGTAATGTAACAACACTTATGGAATGATGTTATTGTCAAATTACAAGCTGTCATTAGTTTGTATTACATGTAACTTGATGAATAGTTACTCTCAATTAAATTACCGGAACATTGTTCATCAAAGTAACAGTTGATTTGCTGCTATGCATGTAATCTTATGTCCACTATTTCTTCTTGTTCTTCTCATCTGATTGTTTATGCTTATTATTTTGTTCAAACTGATTAATAGCAACAGCTGCACCAGCCAAAGTTATTGATAAAGGTAGTCCCAATGTCATAACCACTGAAGCTGCTGCTGCTGCTGCTGCAGCTATACCTAATGCAGCAGCTCCTCCTAGGATCATTGCAGCTAAACCTTGGCCAGTTTCTTCTCTGTTTGTAATGGCCCAATTGATTAATGATTCACAATTTTTAAACAGAAGATTATACTTCTTTTCTTTAATTCTGCTACGTGCACGTTCTATAGCTTCTTGGCCTTCATAAAGGACAACTTTAGGATCATCATACTCCACAAGCTCAACAATGTCATCATCTGGGTTGACAGAGATAACTTCCTCTTTTATGATTGCAATTTCAGTGCTTCTGCCAGAAAAGGAAGCAGCAGAAAACGAAGCTGCACTACTTACATCGCTAGTACTAGTAGCACCATCATCAGGCACAGTGTAATGAATGACACGCAATTCTTGATCATTGATAACTTCCACTACCAACATGTGATGATTATATAAATCATGACAAACCCTTATATGATCACCTAGAGGATTAAAAAAAAAACATTAATTTTTGCGCTACAGTACACTAGCTACAGTAAATGTAGATTGTGCAGGTTTTACAGGAAATATATATAACTAACCTGGCTTCAGTGAGTGTAGGGAGTTGATTTTAGTAGGTTTTTTTATATAGTAAAACCATTTCTTTTAAGCAATTGGACTGCTGCTAAGCCTACTATCTAGTCTCCTTACTCTCCTATCTTTGATAGTCTTTCTCGCTTGGGAATGCAAAGTATGCATGTCATGATATGATAAGTGAGCCTGGGTGGATCTAGTCTAGGTGTGGTTACTTTGTAGGAGTGGCTCATTTCCAGAAATGCTTGCTGTTTTCATGATTCTTTTCTTTATTCCAATCCTTATCTTCCTCTTATGGTACAGGTAAGAGCCTATTAGCTGGTATCACGTGATCCCCTCCCCACAGGCACTATTATATTCCTTATAAAGTATTCAGTAGGTTAGGTATAGCCCATCCTCCAGTGGAACCTTTTACTGGTAACGTTAATGGAATACTGAGACTGGTAATTTATTAATTAGTGGTGGGTGTGGTTAATATAATGTTGTCTATTAGGGTATTATTGAGTTTTTTATACATAAATATGGCAAAGCATGATGGGCCAACTTCTCAAACCAAAGAAGACGGAAATCACTGACAAGCTACGCAAAGAAATCAACAAGGTTGTTAATCGTTACATTGATCAAGGAGTGGCAGAGCTCATCCCTGGGGTATTATTCATTGATGAAGTCCACATGCTTGATATCGAGTGCTTCACATACTTACATCATGTGTTGGAGTCTTCACTAGCTCCCATCGTCATATTCGCTACTAATCGTGGGAACTGTCAAGTGAAAGGTACTGATCTATCAGCTCCTCATGGCATGCCGAGGGATCTACTGGACCGCATTATGATAATACGTACACTGCCTTACTCTCAAAGCGAGACGGTTCAAATACTCCGTATCCATTTGCAGACCGAGGGTATTCAAATTAATGACGAGTCTTTGAATATTCTCGGTGATATTGGGGTGAAGACGACTCTTCGTTATGCTGTACAGCTCTTAACACCTGCTAGTATACTAGCTCGTATTAATGGGCGTGACTCCATTGCTCCAGAGGATGTTCAGGAGATTAATGAGTTGTTCTTTGATGCAAAGTCTTCGGCAAAGATGCTGGCAGAGCAAGAGGACAAGTACATGAAATAAAGTGAAGGAGTTACTGGTAACTGATCATTGCATTCACTTATGTACATAACTTTAGACATACTGTACATGTACATGTATACATATCATGGTA